AAGTACAGCCGGAAGGAGCTGAGGCCTGTGAGAGGCTCATCGGAGGGTCGCAGGACGGTGAGCAGAGCACTTTTTCGCGCAATAAAACAGTTTTCCACACTCGGCACTGCTCCTTCGTGTTGCCGTGAAACGACATCACGAACCCCTTCCAAACGACTTTTTATAAAAAATGCAAAGTCAAGTCAGAAATACACAAACTGTTTAAAATGGTGCAGAATCTGCCGGCCGGTGAAAATACTCACTTATCGCTTGAAGATACGCCAGTCCATGCTGGGGTTGGCCTGGTGTGTAAAGCCAAGTGCACACGGAGGCTCCACCAAGTGCCAACGACGATTCGATGGGCATCTCTGCTCCCTAAAACCGGTGTGCGTCACTTCGTTTGCTGACTGTAACGCCAGCCCATTGGCGAGTTCGCCGAGGTAGATGTCTTCTCCGGCGCCAGTGGAGTGTGACCGATCCAACGGGGACGACGAAGAGGATGAGGTGGAAAGACCGGAGTTGTCCGTCCCTAGAGGAGAGCTGGAAGTGGCAAGGCAACCGGGCCCTGAAGCACGTCTGCGACGAAGGCGCTCTTCAAGCATGACAAGACCACAATAGGGCACTGCGGAACAGCGCTTCGCAATCGCCTCGTTCATGCTGCAGAGGCAGGACTTACCAGCCGACGGATTTTCAGTAGCAGAAGCATCGCTGGTGGAAGAGCTGGAGTTGGCCAGCGAACAGCCACGAGACAACTGATGGCAACCAGACAGATTTCGGGATTGCAGTCGCCATGGCAGGTAGTGAAGCAATGAGCTACCGGAGAGGTTGCGCGGGGGGCCGGAAAAGAGGAGTCGGTCTCGACGAAGCAGAGGACGCACAACGGCGTCCAGAGTGCCGGCGTGGCCGACGATGACAATGGTTGCGTCTGGAAGAGAAACGGCGAAGGGTAGACGAGTGAAGATGGGACGAAGAGGACGCCCGGTGTGGGGTGACATGAACGAGAGCAGTAGCGGGTTGACCTCGGTGTCGCAACTGGGTCTTGTTGTCAAAGCGACTTAGTTGAACACACCTTGCCCGAAGTCCTCTGCCGCAGGAGTTATCACAATCCCAGCATCAGATCGTGGTCTTGGTACATTCTCAAACGTTTCGCCGGAATCGTAGTCGGCATCATCAGAGAATGCGGAGAATGGCAATACTCACTGATGATGCCGGCGAAGCGTCTGAGAATGTACCAAGTACATGGTCTGATGCTGAAAATCATGACAACTACTATGGCAGACGACTTCGGACTAGGTGCGTTCTACTAAGTCGCATTGACAACAAGATCAAGTTGCGAAATTGGGGTCAACACATTTCTATAAATCGAAAAAAGACTGCCACCATATCGGGGCGCACACCATCTTGGTTTTCATATCTTCAAAGAGCAGTAGCATTTGCAATATCAGTGGGCTCTCATATTAATTTTCGTTAATAAGTAAGATTTCGAGGCTGCAAACAAATCACTAATATGGGATGTATTCACCCCATTTCGTTTTTTAGTTGATTTTTCCCACAATTATATGAGTTGAGCTGATGTTTTCCATTTAACTTCACATAGCCTTGCTCTCCCAGAAAATTTTTTCATCCAGCCAGAAGTGTACTGCAGTTTCGACCTCGCCTAGGTTATATCCACACCCCCAGCGGTAGTCGAACCATGAGAGTTCAACATGTAATCTAGACACGTTAACCACTACGCCGCATTGTCACCAGTGCCTTTGCGTCAGAGGGCAGATGTGCATTTCATATTATTGGACAGATTTTCAATGAAGATAAGATATATTTGCTATGAGAATCGACTAACTTACTTGTTTTTTGTTTATAAGTAGGGCTTCGAGACTAACCTAAATGAAATATGATGAATACATGTCATATAACTGATTTACTAGTAGTCTCAGACACCACTTATGTAGTCTATTGGCATAGCAAATATAACTTTGCTTCATCGACACTCCCACCAAAGAATGTGATATGGAAAAAGGCCTGGCCTTCCTTGAAATTCACATCTGCCGTCTGACACAACGGCATTCGTGGCAATGCGGCGAAGTGGTTAACGTGTCGAAATTACACGCTGCTCTGTCCTGGGTCGAGTCCCACTGGGGGCTGCTGATAAGATCAGTCCATTCTTGCGTGTATGAAAGCACCGTTTGGGAAAACAAGGCTATGCGAAATTCAATGGTAGTGGCAGCTCTACTCAAATGATTGTGGGAAAACTCAACTACCAGTCCTTCATCACCTCAAACAAAATGGGGTGAATACATTACACCAGATTTTCGTTTCTCATCAAAGTGCTTAATGCCGAGATTCGAATCATCGGCCTCACCGGCAGACGACGGCAGATTCCCGCAGTACTGCAGCCGTTTGGCTTTAGCCCAACCCTCGCGTTGACGCAGTCCCCGAGACATCCTTCCTCGTTTACGAGCAAAACGGGCTGGGCTTTCATCCATAATACGACGGAGATCATCAGACCTGGAACTCATTCTTGTTCAAGTCACAAGTTAACACTCTGTCATGAAAATTGTTTAGCTTTCTCTAACTTCTTGTATATGAACATAACTAAAATATAAAATGTACAGCATAAATAGATATGGAATGATCTGGATAATTCTCTTTCCTATTGAGCATGG